TCTAGAAAAAGATCGATCGGTACATTGACCTTTGTCAAAGGGACATGTTGGAATTTTTTTTAGCTGAACACTGCTTGCAGTCAACCAGCAGAAAGCACTGTTTGGGTATTCTGACTGCTGTCAGAGTACGAAAGGCATAGCAGGAGAATCGTCCTTCTCTTGAATGGAGGAAGCTTTCAGATTTTTTTTGTTCAGCCTTGTAGGCTGAACAAATATAATCTGTTCGTGTGTGCCCAACTTAAGGCTAGCTCCTTGAGGGGATATCAGCAGCAATGGGTAGTTTGGCTACTATGTAAGACAAGCTACCTTGGGGGAAATTATTAATTTAGGGGTGGTAGTAATTGGTTAATGACATCACCCAGGGATACCCACCAGCTTGTTTCCCATGATGTGTAGACAGGTCATTCATATAGTGGTAGTAGTACCACCACTAAATCACTTCCAACGAACAGTCATGTAGTTTACCTGTAGTGTGCCTTTTAATTTACTAAAAAATTTGACTACACCAGGAAGAGTCAAATGACTAGGACAGCCCCCTTTTTCCTTGCAGGTTTAGTGTCTAATTACGCTCTGTGCTGGCTCAGCTCCATTACCCCTACCCTCACCTCCCTATGCAACCTTTTATGTAGCTTCCAGGGAGGAATGAAGAATGACAGCTTTGAGTCTGCTGGTGCTGTTGACATTGCTGTTGACATTGCATCCAAGATGTTGGTGCCCTGCAACAGTCTCAGGACTTTTGGATGTCCACACAAGGGAAGTTTGTACAGGTAAATAACATACATAAAATGCGTTGAATACAAATATCTTATGGGGCTTTTTTTTTTGGATAAAAGGTCTAGCAACAAGTCTCTGCTTCTACCCCTGAATGAACTGTGGAAAGTAGACGGAGGAGATGACGAACCAGTGTCTCCTGGGTCGAGACCCAAAGCCTGAGGGCCTAGGAAATCCAATGAGTCGATTCAAAAAGAATGGACTGAGCAATGTGAGAAGGCCTTCTTACAACTAAAAAGAAGCATAACTCAGGCTCCTATGCTAGCCCATGCTGATCCCGCCTAACCATACAAACTACACGTTGATGCTTGTAGAGAGGTTTTATGAGCAGTGCTGTACCCTCCTAAACCAGAAGTACAATTCAGTTTCTCTTTGCTATTGTATTTGTCTCATTTGTTGGTTAATGATACTAGGTTGTGTACTTAGTAAAACTTTTACAAAACCCCACAAAGTGTGTTGTGGATCCTGTATGGGCTGTAGATCCTAGCTTGGAGGACAGAAGAACCTTTGTTATTTTCAGCAGCTCCTTCTGGGGTACGCGATACAGGTACATATTTCAAGGTTCACTTATTTTTTTCCATGTGAGCAGCAACTGGAATTGGCAGATCCAAAATCAGTTTTGGTCTCAAATGGTTTGCTTTGAAAGGTTTGGCATGCAGCATCAGTATTTCCTCACACTTGTGCTGGAGTTTAAAAACATAAATTGTTTTTGATGTTGTTTCGTGTCATATGGCTTTGTTTGAATGTGAACATGATGAGGTCTATCTAGAACAAAAACCTTTGCTTTTATTGGGTTATGAAGGTAGGTGCTAAGTGCTAAAGCTGCCTATACACCTATAGATTTTCGATCGGAAATTTTCGTTGCTGCCAAGAATGCTCTTTCAATTCTATCTCAAATAGTCCATCAAGCACAGACCAATGTCTAATTCGATAATCGTTCATTAACAATACTAACTCACTGAATTTTGTTGATCGACAGAACGGATTTTCGTTTGCTCATGTGTGTGTGTTTTCCACCTTCGCCCTTTGAGAAAATTCGAGCGGGATTACAGTTAAAAATATTGTTGGTGTCCCACCAACTGTTCGATTATCATTCGAAAGCCCATTCTTGGAAGATTTCCAAACGATAATCGAAGAGTGTATGGGCACCTTAAGAGAATCTGGGTTCCAATCACTGATAGCCTTCTCAACGCAAGACTCTTTTCCTGTATTGAAGGGGTTTTTGTTCTAAACAAGATCTCCCGTTTAAGCTCAATGCCCATATTTGTAACCAAAACATGTCAAAGGCAAATGATTTTAAATAAATCTTTATTGATTTTCAGCAAAATGGCAAATTGAGTCATATTACACCACAACAATTTTTCTACATATCATTTGTAAATGTATGATTTAATAGCAGAAAGTACAACTGGCAATGTGGAATTTCAGTTCAGAGAGCAGTCGAGCGACATAAGAAGCTGCAAAGCTGAAAAAAGGAAATAGTGTTGTCAGCTAACTGGATATGCTGTGTGACACAGATGTAATTAACAGGACTGTTTTAAACTTTTTGTAAATACTAGTGACCAACTAATCCCTGCAAATTCACCCAACTGGTGATCTGACCACCACTGCAATGTTCAGATATCCATAATCCAATCTGCATGTATTGATTACAATAAATATTGAATACTAGGGATGCACCGATACTTTTCAGATACCAGTGCCGATACTTGGCATTTTCATGAGAACTACCAAACTACCAGGGTTGCAGCGGTTGCAGCTGGGACCTGGCTCTGGTGCTCCACCACTGTCCTGAAATCATTAGTCTGTATTGTTTTAGAAAAACTGTCACATTGCAATAAACAAAAATGTATCAGTACTTGTAACTACTTGGGCAAGTATCAGTACTTGAACTTGCAAAAATGCTGTCAGTACATTCCTTTATTTATATTTATAAAAACAAAATCACACATTATCCCTTTCACTGCCAAGCCCTCTGGAACATTTTGCACCTCAGCTGGCCACGCCATTTTTGCAATTTTTCCCATTGATTTGATTTTCAACTGCTGCGTTGCTAGCGTTTTGTAAAAGACCCACCAAACCATATATTTTCTGAAAGCGCAGGCCCGGTAGAATAAAAAGATGGTTCTACTAAATTTGTAGGCCCTTTGATAATTGTGCAAATGTTTCCCAAATTATTATTAAACCGATAAAAATACACAATTCAATTGATAAAGCACACTAAAATCATTATCAGCACACAAGAAAAAAAATATTTTCTGACTAAATCTAAAAGATAAAACTGTATTGAGTTAACAAATAACAAATATTTGCAAATTTGAAATTGCGCCTTTTTGCATAAAGGTACAAAAATGAAGGTATTCAAAACTGTAAATAAGCGACTTATGTTAAAAATTGTTTTTGCGATGTGTTGGTGTTTGTGTTGTGATAAAATGATACAGGCGTATATTTAATGGCAACACAAGGTATCACAACGCATGGCAATGAGTCACAAAGTTTTGCCATGCGCTGACACAGTTAAATTAATGTTATTTTTTAAAGAAAAAATCATGCACTGCGATGCGTTCTAACAACTGTGGTATTGTGTGGCAATCCCACTGTAGAATTGGGTGTTATGATCACCTGGAACTCTCAGCCAGATGGGCTAAGATGTGTCAGGAAGCAATGGTTTGTCAGGATTACGTTTGGGATCCTGGAACTGGGAGGTTTCAAGGTGATTCAGGGAAGATGGGATCCCCATATATAGGATAGGAACGGACAGTGTTCAGGAGTCAGGAGGACTTTCCCAGAATCTAAAGTGGAGTCAGGTGGTGAGTGTGCTGGAGGCACACTAAAGGTGTCTATACACCTTACGATTATCGGACGAAACTTTTTGTCCGATGATCGAATAGTCGTACGATTTTCGTATGGCAGCCTCATCCTGCCCCGATGATCGCAAGGTTAGTTTAGCCGTAATTAAGGAAAAGCACCTGGACGAATTGCGGTAATTGATTTGCCGTATTTTCGTTAGCGCAAGCGCAGTGTAGACCGTACGACGTTTGACGGACGGAAACGCCAGCAACCTTGCGAAAATCGTACGATCTAGCGTATCTGTACTTGTTCTTGTATCGAGCACAGTACTTGGTATCGGTGCATCCCTGTTGAGTACAATAATACTTTTAACCTCTTACTGGTCCACTCTGGTATCCCACACTCCTTTCAACAGTCAAGACTCCATAGTTAAGGATCTTACTTTTACTGATTCAAATGGGACAGGGAATAATGGGGTCAGGTTCATGTGTTACCATACTATACTTTGATGAGGAAGTATAGTACACCATTATTTGTACAATGACTCGAGGGCAGAGAGTCAGAAGGGTGTAGGCTGTGGTTTGAGAAGAAATGTATATGTGCTGTAAGAAATGACAAGAAATTACCTGATGATAGCTTAGAATTATTCTGCTACCTGTTCACAAATGAGCAGATCAATTCATTGCTCCTAATCGATGCCTGCTTTAAAGCTGAAGTTAAATTCATTCATTCAAGTCATTTAAATACATTCCTCAATAGCCAGAAATACTGCCTATCCACTTTGCGTGCAACAAATGCCTTTGCAAACCCAGTTATCACCTTGCAAACGTTGCAGTGGCATCATCATGGTGCTGTACAGAGCTAGTGCAGAGAGCAGAGCTGTGGGAGTGACACAGCAGGCCCCACCCACTACAGGCCACCTGCAGAAAACTAGGGGCGGAGACAAGACCAGTCACCCTGCACAAGGAGAGAGCAACAGTCTTTATTACTGTAAGCTCCTGCACAGAGGCAAAGTTTATTTTAAATATTAGAGTTTCAGAGGGAAAGTTTCACACTAGATTACTGCACAGATCTGGAAGAAATGCACAAAACACACCAAGATTTTACAGGGGTACATAGTGGTGCTAAAACCAGGGATGATTTTTTTTACTACAGTAATCCATAAAACCATTTAGTTCTTTTGTACCTTGACTGTGAAATGTTGTTATGGCTTACTGTACTCTGGACACTATCAATGTTATTTGCATGTATTTGTCTTCTAGTATTATGTATACCTGGCTTTATGCAATAACAAAATGTAGGTAGGAGTGAAGTATGAAGAATGCTTAACAACTAATCAGAAATTGATATACATTAATTTAATCAGAAGCTGTTTTCTGATTGGCTGCAATGAATTAGTGCACAATATTGCTTTTCTACTAGTTCATTACACAAACTTTTTATATCTTCAGCTTCAAGTCACACAGCTCACTCAGATATTCAGGATTTCCTGGATCACGTTTTAAGGATTCTTCATAACATTTAATGGCATCTTTTACATTGTCTTGATTCTTATAGACAAAGCCAAGCAATTCAAAACCAGATGCCTGAGGTGGGTACGTCTTTATCATCCTTTCACCCATTCTTTTTAATGCTCTTTCACTGAGATCCCTTTGCCGACTTGGGAATGATATCTGGAAACATTCTTTATTGCTTTTGATTTACATTTCATGTGGTATTCTTGAAACTGGGCATAATTTAGATTGATCTGTTGCTTTTCTTCATCTGTGAGATTGGGGAATTGCAAAGCTTGTTTAAATGTATCATCTGCTTTCTGATAGTCCTTTACTTCACAATACATATTTGCCAAGTCTGTGTATGCATAGGCAAATGTCTTCTCACATTGCAGCACCGTTTCAAAGTGAGAAATTGTCTAACAACTTCATCCATTTCATGCCTGTGTTTATATCGGAGCTCAGGGTTTGTCTTTTCAAGCTCCTTTAAATTGTTCATTTTCTGCTTGTAACACACTCCTATTTGGTGATGATGAAAGCCTGATGTTGGCATAAGGTCAAGAGCTACTTGTAGGACGCTCAAAGCTTCATCTATCAGCCCAGCTTTTCTGTAAAACTTGGCCACATAACGAAGTACATATGGAAGGTCTGGAGCTTGTTGCCGAGCTTGTTCTATGTATGCTCTTCCTTCCTCATCTCTTTTTAGCTCCTGCAGCTGCAGTGCAAGAAGTGTTTTCAAGACAGCATCTTTTGGATTTATCTCTACAGCATGTTGCAAGAGCTGTAGTGTTTTGCTTCCAGAAGCTTCAGATTTCTTAACGCCCAATACCTCCAAACGGTAAACCGCTGTGGCATGGCCAGAGCACCACTCGGGATCTTCTGGATCTAGTTCTAGAGCTTTTTCAAAGCATTCTTTGGCTTTCTCGTAATATTTTGCACAAAATTTTAACAGTGCCCATCCTTGTTCACCATAAATCTCTGCAATTTTGTCAGTGCCATTTGGCAATTTCTTGAGCTCATCATAAATGTGGTTTACCTTTTCTATGTACTTCTGAGCATTTTCATACTCTTTCATGTGATAGTATATCCAGGCATAGTTTCCAAATGTCACCAGGAGCTTTTTGCCTGTTCCATCAGAGTTACTGCCTTCAATGCTCTTCTCTGCTTTCTTCAAGTTATTGATGGCTTCTGTGTAATCACCTTTCAGGCTCATTATGTAGGCAAGAAAATTGTACACCATATATTTGTTTTTGGTGTTCAGGTATATAAGCTAGTAGTCCAGTCTCTCTTTCAACTCATCAGAGTTTCTATCTTTTTCCAGCAGCTGCCAAGTAAAATGGCATTTTAACTCCAGCAAGCGTGGTTTTAACGTAACTTTGGAAGGTACACTGTAAGAGAAAACAGAATAAATTGCAAATAGTAAATACTGTATTCGTAAATTTTTCCAAACAGGCATGCTTATAGTGCTGTTTTTAATCATGACATAATTACATATCTGATATTTTAGGTATACAGTAGATTGGCACTAGTGGTTTGAACTAGGGATGCACTGAAATTTCGCCCGCCAAAACATATCGGCTGAAAGTGCCATCTTTCGGACGAAATAGCAGTGCATCCCTGGTTTCTCTCCTTCCTGCTGGGCGCTTCTCTGTGTCCCCTCTGACAGGAGGCCGAGCGGTACGGGGGAGCAGAGCGATGTGAGCCGCCGGCGTCTCTCCTCCCGCCCTGCTCAGCCTCCTGTGACAGATCAGGAGAGCGGCGGTGTGGGGGTGGAGACAGCTGTCAGTTGTCACAGGAGGCCAGTCGCCAGAGGAGCTCTCCTCCCCGCAACAATACAAAACACAAAAAATCTCCAGCACCACTTGCCAGCCAGCCTGCAACAAAACAAATTACCCTGACTAACAGTATGCGTTAAAAACAGAGGTTTTAGTTGCACAAACTTTTGGCCAAAAATATGTAGAAGCCAAGGCACCTCTGCAAAGTGTGGTCCTAACTCTATTTGTATGAGTCTCCAAGTGTGAGCATATTAATGCAGTTGATAAATTAGATGCAGGTGTACCAGGAGGTAGCCTACTCCTCCTTATAAAGGTGCAGGGACGCACTGGAGGCCCAGCAACCAAAAATGCACGCTGGGACCCCCAGTGCATCCCCACATCCAAAATAGTCAAACTAGAAAAACATGGTAACCGCATGAATTTATAACCAGCCTTTGCAGCAGGGTGCACATGGGAAGGCTTACAACAATACAAAACACAAAAAAATCCCCAGCACCACTTACCAGCCAGCAACAAAATAAATTACCCTGACTAACAGTATGCATTAAAAACAGAGGTTTTAGTTGCACAAACTTTTGGCCATAAATATGTAGAAGCCACACTGCTGCGCCAAGGCACCTCTGCAAAGTGTGGTCCAACTCTATTTGTATGAGTCTCCAAGTGTGAGCATATTAATGCAGTTCATTCATAAGTTATGAATGAACAGGAACACTCAGTATAGAGCAATGGTTCTCAACCTGTATAATTTCGGGACCCACATTTGTCCTCGGTCATTAAGTCGCGACCCAAACCGCACTGCATTGGAACGCACGGCATTGTTCATGATCAAACTGTGGGCAGGAGTTGTGTTTGAGTTGCCCGTCAAATGAATGGCAACACAATGCACTTCCGGCACCAGAATGAACAGTAGGTGCAATTACATGGTAGTTTGTGAGTAAAACACTGACAGACACACACATTCACAGACACAATCTCACACACTTACTCAGTCATTCACACTCCCAAATTTTTTTTTAGGGGTTCAGTGTGGGCTGCTATGCTGTGAGGGAGCTCCATCCATAGGTAAATTGCTTGTAGAGGTGCAGGGAGCCAGAATGTGACGTCACTCTGGTCATGCTAGGGAGCTGTAAGCAATACACACATGGATGGAGCTCCCTTGTGGCCATACCCCCAGCCCACCCTACCTCAAGCTGACACTTGGCGCTAAGCAGCATAGTATGAATAGCTGCTTGGCACAAGAACTGACACTGCTACGCTATGGGGGAGGCTAAGGAGCCTCTCACCTAGTGCACTGGAAGGCATGCAGCGACCCACTGAACATGGGTTCGCGACCCACTGAACATGGGTTCGCGACCCACTTTTGGGTCACGATTCATCAGTTGAGAACCACGGGTATAGAGGATTCCTGTTCATTTATAACAGAGGCTGCAGAAAAAGAGATTGAGCACTCTGTGTTCTTAATCTCTTTTTCTATTTTAAAAGGGAAATATCAGGGATCTGTTTAGACTAGGCTGATATTTCCCCAAAGCCACCAACAGTAAAGTAAAAAAATAAAAATATTTAATAAAAATAAATTAAAATATTTTTGAAAAGGTTAGGAAAAAAATGTTGGTTTTGGCCTGACATTTTTAAATTTTTGGTTTAATTTCAGTTTTGAAAATTTCATTTTGGTGCACCTCTAGTTTGAACCACCCAGCAACTTCTCATGCCTTTTGGGGACTCAAAGGCAACAAATCCAGCAGATCCTAGTTCTGCCAGTCCCCAGCTTTAGACTTTTACACCTGACTTTAGGTTCTCTTTAACCACTTGAAGTCCGCAGTGTTTAAACCCCCTTCCCATCCAGGCCATTTTTCAGTATTCAGCGCTGCGGTACTTTGACTGACATTTATTCCGTCATGCAACGCTGTACTGAAATTAATTTAATACAATTTTTGGGGGACAGATAGAGCTTTCTTTTGGTGGTATTTAATCACCACTGCCGTTTAAATTTTTTACTATATTAAGGAAAAATTACCAAAATGTTTTTTAAAAAACTGTTTCCCCTATATTAAATAATAAAACATTTATTATTACCCAATTTATTGGTAAAATACAAAAGACGGGGTCACGTCAGGTAAAAAGACACCAAACATGTCAAGCCTAAAAATTGCGTGCAGGCGCGAAACCTCAAAAAACTATAATACCCTAAATTGGCCATAGGCGACGCTTTAAAAGCTTTTACCGCTCATCAGTTTAGTGTTTTCAGTGATTGATGGCCCTAAAATGATTGCTCTCACTGCAGCGTTCGCGGCGATATGTGTAGCGCAATTGTCGTTTTTGCGTGCTGGTGCACCGGATGCGTATTTACGTTTATATGTGCGTAAACGTGGGGTGGGGGACTTAAGAATTTTTTCTGGTTTTTTTAGACTTTTTTTTGTGACTTATTTTTTTTTAACTCTTTTTATGTTTTTTTTTTTTTACACTTAATGTTATTGCTATTACATAGGGGGATAAGAATCCCCCTATATAATAGCAAAGCCACACTGACAGGTGGTCTTTATGGAGCCA